TTGCTTCAATGTTTTCAATTCTCTTCATCATGTTTCTTAGTTCGTGCATAGACTGTAATTATTTATCAAATATCTTCTCTTTTAATGATGGTTTGAGACCAGCTTTGATGTTTAACATTTTTCTCTCTCCATCATGGAATGATTTACTTGAAAAAAAAGTTTTGCTACAGCATAGATAAATTGAAGACTGGTTTCCTTGGGTTGTTATTTTCGTTTTAGAAGATGGAAAAATTCCTGATTTTTATGTAAGTTATGATTGAAATCGATGTTGAATTTTCATTTTAAGCGTTGGCGATGATAAGAGTCGATGATTATTTTATCCGAACCAGTTTTTGGCGTCATTTGGTGGTAATTCATTATGTATTGTGAGTGTACACTTCAAGAAAAGACATTTATTCACACTAAAAAGGATGTGTGAGTGTGGGTGTTACAGTCATATGTTTATTCCTGACTCATCGGCATCTGTTTATTCATTCTTTGACGCTTATCCCTTCTATATATGCTCTCTCTCTTGTCGCTTACGTGGTTCTGTCTGTTCTGTTCTGTTGTTGTTCTCGCGTCGATATCTCGAAATAAACGAACATCGAGAAGGTACACGGAATCCTCTAATAGTGGGTGTGGGTGGGAAGAATAAGAACATCCACACTCACACTCTTTTATATCATCATTGTTCTTTCAATTCAATTGAATATGATGTTCTATTTTTAAGGGCCAATCTTTTGATTCTTTCAAACAGAAATCATCAGCCACCTCCTGAGCTTCTCTACATTGTTGCTCACACATTCGTTATTCGTGTCCTTCCAGCTTGCCTCAAACTATGAGATATTACAATGCTGTGGCACTTTTACATTCCTTATCATGCTCAAGTATTTTAACTCTTTTTCAACTCTTACCATTCATCAATTGACTACATTCTAATTTTACATTCGATATTTCAAAGTCGATTTCTTTGAATGAATAATTCCGTAGATTATTTCTAGAAAAAGGAAAAAGAAGCGAATAAGAAGCACCATTACTTCCTCTACACTTATGTCGCGTCAGTGATATATACTATTTCACTCAATTTCTTCTTTTTCGTATAAAAGCATAGTAACTAAAAATCTATAGAGTTTCATACGTTCATATACATTTATTTTTCCTTTCAGATTAAAATTCATTGTCAAACATACATGTATAAGATTTAGTAACAATAGATTAACAGTAAATCATCTACAAGGGCGATATGGAAGCTAGAACGTATCTTGCGTTCATTGAATCATGTATATTCTTGTTTTTTTAACAGTAGCATTTGATAATAGCTAAAAATTGTACGACAATCGTTGAACACAAAAATTTTAATCGTATTGAAGCCAGACGAAAAGTGAGCTCAAAAATATTGCTAAGAATTTATATAAAATAGAAATTTATTCTTGATTATGTTTGCGTCTTCCGATATGTTCACTCGTCGGACCAATCAGCTGCCTATTCCATTGTATTGTAAAGATGATCTGTTGTTATATCACTATCAAATTCTTGCTTCCAAATTTCATCCGTTTTATCACATGATTTTTTCATATTGCTATCATCAATTATTGGCCATGGATCATGAAAAATAACATAGCCAACAAGACGAACACAATCAGCTGCATAGTTTAATGGTTCTTGCATATGAGCATGCCACATAATATCAATCTAAAAACACATAACAATTTAACGAAGTAATGGTTCTTCTTCTTTTATTAAGAGAAGTATTTTACCGCATATGTTGGAGGTACAAAACCATTACCATCTTTCAGTGGATATTTAACTGCCATGTATAAAAATCGTTCATAAGATTTTTTCAATCTTTTCATTGCTCCTGGTCCAAGATTGATTCCTGTTGATAGTGGCGAATAATAAGATCCATCAGACATCTTTTGTAGTGCATCCGTCATGAATTTTTTACACATATCAAGCCATTTCATATCCAAATTGATATCACCTTCTGTAAATGAAAAAGGATTTTCATAATCTTTAGGTGATTCCAACGAAAATTCGAAATTTGTTTTATCCCAATAAGAATAATTCGTTAATTCATTAATATGCGAATCGAAAATATAATGAAAAACATTAGATGGAACTTGATTTAGGTGACAGATTGATGATAATGGACAATATTGTTCACCAAATCTTTGTTCATATAATTGGCAAGTATCTCGAAATGCTTGTTCTTTCAAAAACTCTTCAATATCATTAGCTAACAACTTATGATCAATAATTCGACGAAATAAACGAATACAATCAGCTTGATAGATTTCAGGTCGAAGTAAATGAGTTTGCCAAACTATTTCAATATCTAATGTAGGAACTAATAGAAGATTTGATGGATTAGATGCTTTCAATTGCATAAAACGATAATATCTTATGATCATTTGTTTTAAAATAGATGATTGTTGCCACTGTTGTTGAAACTTTGATGCTTTTTCTAATAGTTTTATAAGTTCACGAGCTGTATCTTCAATGTTGACCGATAGTTCAATCGTCCTACAAGAAAAAGGAACCATTATTATTCATTGATTAGAAGTATCCTTTCAGTATTAGAATCTATTCATTATGAAAGTCAATGTTTCGACTTAGTGAGCGCGTTTTAACATGAAAATCTTCTTTACTTAGAAAAACAGTTATGAGTGCATTGTCTATGAAATAAAAACGATGCAGCTGTTGTTGCTAATCACATGAGAATTTTTTCATTAAGTCTATTTTGGGACACATCACTTTATTATCTTTTACTTAACCATCTAGAACAGGGCTATGGAAGTAATTTGTATATTTTAATGAGATGCTAATTAGTTATATATGGTCTTTTATCGTATAACAAGAGTGTCTACCGCAGTCTATGGAGAATAATGGTGTATAAATTTGTGTCCCATACACTTCAACATTCCTTTTAGATCGTATCTAAAAAAAATAATTGGATGAATAAAGCTAAGTGTGGTAATATGTTGTCCATGGTTTTTTTAATCTATCTCGTATATCAAAAATCAGTGCATGCTGTATGACCATTGCAAAAATATAAAGCAATGAAGGGCATATTTCACATATTAAACATATTAACGTAGAAGCCTTGTCGACTAAATAATTCAACAAAATACTTGTGTCAAAAAAGGAAGCTTTTCATACATGGTTGATGATGAATTCGGATGCTGAGTGAATCCACCAATGGATTCAAAATTATATTTTCCTGTCGGTCGGGTAGGAAATACGGGAGGTGAAATTCGGACACATGCAGTTCTGATAGATAAACCCATACGTCGTAGGTGTTTGTTATGTAAACATTTTCCATGCATCCAATCCATATAAATTTGTTTAAATGATTTGGAATATAATTTTGCTGATGCTAATCAATAGTTTTCAACATTAACATTTAAATAGAATATTCAAAAAAGGAAACAGTACTTACTATTGCATTTTGGTTTCCATATTTCATCTTGATCAGCGACCATTTTGAATGATCGACAAACCAATGAAACATTACCTAGATCTCTTACGGATAGAAATCGAAATATATGTAATAGAATTTCATTAGAAATGGAAACAAATGGTGAATTCAAGAGAGCAACTTGTGTTTCACTAGAAGACCATACATGTTGCCAAGTAACATTTGGTATACTAGGTACTGTAACCTCTGTTTTGACAGAGCCAAAATCAAACATTTTTTCGATGCTAGCATAAAAACCATTCATCGAGTGATCTAAACAAAATAACAGTTCTCAATGATACAACAATTTTGCCAGAAGAAGGAAATAGGAAGTATATGCAAAAGAAAAAAAACTACGAAGAGCACAAATGCGTTTTTTGTTTTTAGTTGTTTCAAGCTATAAATCATAAGAGGGTGTTACGTGATAAATGATCTATAATTTATGGCTAGTAAGTAGAAACGAATCAGATCGTAAAGACAAGGGTCAATCAATTTGATGATTGTCAAACAATTATCAGTCTTGATTTCATATAGATCTGTTTTCATTTTTGCCCATGTAAGCTTAATAAAACATTGTATTGCTTATTAACATTTTACATCAAGAGAATAGCGCAAGATTTAAAATAAGGATGTAATTCATATACTATACCAGGATTTTATAGATGTACGATCTGTTGATGGGATGTGAGAGGAGGAGTCAAAGTTTTTCAAGATCATGTTTCACAGAAGCAGCTTACTTTAGTAAAACAAAGTATGTTGTGTTCATCACCTTGATGCGTAATATGACTGTGTTGTTCAATGACACATTTTTTCTTTCCATGCTCACCTGTGTTCTATAATTGCCTAGTATTACTTAATCCTTCATTTATTACGAATCATTACTCTCCCAATCATAAATTTATTGCGTAAGTATGTTGTGATTCGGCTTTTTATTTTTTATTTTTAATGTATTCTTACTATGAGAATTTGCAATCATTATATATTTTAATGATTGTTGATAGATATTATGAGAATTCGATCATTGATACAAATAGATAACAATGAATAACGGAATAATCTAACTTTAGAATTTATGTTCTGAAGTTAAGAAAATGTTTTAATAAAATTTTATTTGTTATTAAGGTTTAAAATCAATTTAAATTATATTTATGTGCTATAATTTTACTGATGAAAATATCGTAATATATCTCGTCTATTCGACATTAACTAATAAATAAATTCATATTGATTTCTCTTTTTTTTTGACTTGAAATAATATGAATCAAAACAAACTCTCTAACAAAATCTGCTATTCTTTTAACGTGATAGAATATTTTTCAATACAACAGATTTTATATAGAAAACTCAAATGAAAAAATAGATTTCTAATTTAAATAATAATTTGTTGAAAAATTCTCTCCAGTATGAAGTTCGATTCATGGTTACATTTTGTTTTTACTACTTTCAAATGAATTCTTCAGTACAAGTTTATAATTGTGTCAAATTTAGTTTGATAATTAGATTTATCCAAAGAATATTTTAAAAATAATCAACAGTCAAACGAGTCAATTATACATACAAATGTCTTGCATGAGTACGATTTTTCAAAATTGAACCGAAGCTAATCGACATTCGACAGATAATTAGCAAAAGAAAAGAGATTATCTCTAATCTCACAGAAAAAAAGAAATTGAATAAAGTGATTCAGGATTCACTTGATGTTTTTTTTTGCTTCTAAAATCCGATCAATTTTACTAAATATACGCTTGCTTGTGGCTAATGATACTGGAATGGAACGCAGTTTAATTGCCAATCGTCATTATTGTGGATACATACATGCATGCTTTTTCTATTTCAATAATTTATTTTTCCTCTTCATTTGCTCAGTTACTTTGTCGTATTTCATCATCATTGGTAAATGACTATTCATTAATAACGAATACTTTTAGTAAAATAATATCCCTATTCACTTCTAGAACCTATTCTCAAGTGCAATAAAGTTTCACAAACATATGATCGAACCAATATTCATTCCTATGCTTTTTTATATGTAGCAGTTTCAAAAAGTGAAAATATTATGAAACATCAAGATCTTATTGATTCTTTTTATTGCACCTTGGAATCATTAGTCAAACAATAACACTATTAGAAAATTACAAAATCAAATCAGAATGAAGAAACTGCATGATAATTACTCGTTTGCACGTATATTTAATAATACCTATTTAGAATATAAAAACCAATGATCTATCTTGTGTGACTTTCAAATTTTATTCTAACAATAAAATAATTAATATCGTTTATTGATTATATGATATAGTGACAATGCAATCATATTCTGCTTATCTCTATTGTGTATCAACATATCAATTTCGGAAATTTCCAAATTTTCTTTCTTTTCTTTATCTAGAAATTTCTCAAGTGTACCTTGGTATTTTCCAAGTAAGCCTTGAGTACACATTTAGAAATAACACGTTGCCATCAGTTCAGTTGTTATTTCGCTTGTTCCATTTACTCTTCGAAAAAGCTAACTCTTCCCATTGGTGAGTTTTCTATTCATGATTGAATTCAACAAGACATACAAATTAATGACTCATATAATAAAAACGATTTACTTTTCAGAAGAAACGATAACTGAGAAATAAAGTTTTTACAAATAATTGACTCTTTTCTTCAATTAATTATGTAACTATTTTCTTAGTACAATCGAATTCTTATTAGATAGTTTAACGTTTTCGAAGCTATAGTTTTATTTTAATTGACTCATTCAAACAAGAAATTTCTACTTAACTGTAATAATCTATTAGGCTATATAATAATGTGAAAAAATTGTTTTTGATGAATAATAATCGAAGAAATTCAATACGAAACAAAACAATTATCGTTCAAAATTAGATAAAATGATGTACTTTTAACAACTATGTCATAGTTTTTTTCAGCTATCGAATGAGTCAATGAAAATTATCTTGCATACTCAGAAAGAATCATTCTCGATGAGTCAATGCAAATATTTGATAGAGGAAGAAAAAGAGGAAGAAAAAGAAATGCATTAGTTTCAACCATTCATTCATAACTATGTCACGTAAGCAATACATACATCGATTCTCTTGGGATTTTTTTATCACATAAAACAGTATTTCGGAAAACTTCGCAAAACTACCCAGATCGAAGATTCCAGTCACCGCATCCCGCACGATCTTGCAGGAAATATGCGGAAAAATTCACCGTATCCTCCAGAAAAACGCCGGAAGTCGCCGGAACAGGGTAGCAGTATTCCTGCCGAAAAATTTTCGGATTTTTTCCGGTGACTTCCGGACAACTTCCTGCATGAAACGTGAGGAATTTGACCGGAAGACACCGGAAAAATCCGAAAATTTTCCCGCCGGAATACTGCTATCCTGTTCCAGCGACTTTCGATGTTTTCCTGGCGGAACCGGCCCGTACTTGTCGACCTGGGTCGACCATGACCAAGGATTATTATTTCTGTAAAAAAAAAAAAAAAAGAACTTGATACACTTAATAATATTTGTATTTCAGATAAAATTTTATTTTTCAAAAACTGCATGTTTTCAGTTAAGCGACGACTGAATAATATTGAGTTATTTAAAGAGGAAACAAAGAAATTTCGAGGTAAGATCTACATAATAATGTCATTATATGATGCATTTTATTTTATCCTTATTTAAATAGTAATACATGATGACAAGTAGGAAGAATGAAAATACTCTTTGAATCGATTTATTTTTTCTTTTCTTTTCTTTTATAGAAAACTAATTCACTCTTTTGAAAATTTATCAAATGAACTATTCTATGAAATTTTTGATTATCTTGATGGTTATGAAATATATCAAGCATTTTCAAATCTTAATAGTCGTTTTAAAGCATTACTAACTTGTTCATCTCTTCGACTTAAAATTGATCTTCGTTTTCATCCAGAAGATATCCTACAGTATTGTTCTACATATGTTGTTACTCCAAACAAAGATCGAATCATTTCACTTAGATGGTCCAATCTTCGTGATTATAAGTCAGGTTTTACACTATTTAATATTGATTCATTATTTAGTCGACTTGAGTCATTGACGTTAGGTGATATCGAATCGAATCAACTCATACCTCTTCTCATAAGTTTAATATCTCTACCTCGTCTCTACTCATTGACAATCAATTATGATGATGATCTCAAAGATATTAGCAATATCTATCAAATACTTCTTAACTTTCCGATGTTAAAGTATAACAAATTGTCATTTTTTTCACTTGAATCATTTATTCCTCTATCAAGAGCAACCACAGACCAATTCAGTAGTATAAAGTATCTCGTTATTGATCATTGTTGTAGTCTTAATGAGTTGATCGATATACTTTCATATACACCTCAACTTTATCGGCTAACTTGTAAACACGTAGATGAATCAAAGAAAAACATCGTGAAAGATACACTCAACGTAATATTCAATTTGACTTGTATGTCCATTGCTGCATGTTATGCAGAGTTTGATGAAGTAGAAATGTTTCTTACCACTCTATCACCTCAATTAGAATTATTACGCATTAGTACTTTCAGAGATGTGACTTATTTGGATGCTAATCGATGGGAACGAATTATTTCACAACATTTACATCATTTAAGTACGTTTGAGTTTAAATACGAAGAACCTATTGATGAAGACTTGGAAGTTAGTGTTTATCATGAAAGACTTAATGAATTCAACTCATTATTTTGGATGAAACGGCAATGGCTCTTTAAAATTTATATCGACACGAACTTTTGGGAAAATAACGTTATTGTATGTTCTATTTTTCCATACAGGTTTATTGAAAAAATCATTTTTTTAAAATAAAGATTTGTTTGTATTTTTGTTTTGTAGGCCAATACAAGGCAATTCTCATGAAGAGAGAGAAAACAATGAAAGTTTTAATGACATACTCAGTCAAAACATAACAGAACAAAGTATCATTCCTAATCAACAAGAGTCTTTTGCTTATTCTAAAATGCTTTCTGAAACTAATCAATTAATCGTCATCGATCTATCATATTCTGAATTTGATGAAACTTTTTTTGATACAATACATCCTGTTTTGACCACGATACAAATTACTTATTTGAATATTATGCTTCGTGACATTTTCATTGGCGCGTTAATCGATCTAGTCGGATGTTTACCTAATCTTGATTCATTGGTAATTTCATCTCTAAGCATGATACAACCACGATGTTTATCTATAGAAGAAACAAGAACTTTTCGTTTGTTATCAAATAACAACAAAATCACTAAAGTTAATCTTAAAGAAATGAATGACTTAGCACAAGTTCAGTTTCTTCTCGATCTCTGTTCTCAAATGAAATATTTCGAGGTGGATTGTACAAATGATGTGTCACCCGAAAATGTTGTACAATTTATTTTAATGAAAAATATCAAACGTACTTGTAATCTACGTTTACTATGTCTTAAAATTTTACAAACAAATATGAACATCGTTGATACATTAAAAAGTATAATTGATTTTGAACAATTATGTCATAACTATACAATACAACAAATAGACACTAAAATTTATTTACGATTGAATTAATGATAATTGAGTTATTTTATTAAGTTTGTAATCAAGTAGATGTTTCACATATACAATAAAGTTTATAGTTACCTGTTATTTCAAGCAATTTATAAAATAAACAGTTAATTAAGCACCGAAGAGAATGTAGCGGCAGATTTAAGTTCTTGTATCTAATATGTGCCATGTAAATTAAGTCGATTGGCTTAAGATTGTACCTTGTATAGAATGAAATATGTCTTGGAATGACATCAATTTGGAAGAATTTCAACAGAAAGATTATAAGAAAATATCCATACGACAGGTTTATTTCAACATAAGTTTTCTCGACGAACTATAGTAATTATACAAAGTATTCGCCTGAGTCTTTGTATCAAGTCTAAATCCATCGTGTCTTGTGTAGCTAGACGAAGTCCATCGAATGTTAGATATTTCCTGGAGTTTGTTTTGTGGTAGGCTTGAAGTAGAATTTGAGAAATACGTGTTGTTAATGCTAACGACAAATCAGAATATTTCGACTAAGCATTCCTTCTGTAGCTTGTTTCAAAAAATTCATGAAGTGTATCAACTACAAAATTCAAAATGTATTAAATCGAATCCATTTTCAGAGATCTCTTAGGTAAGATGTGGATGTAGAGGTGTATATGGAATTATTGCGCGTAAAATCATTATCGATTATAGTGGATAAAAGGGAATGATGAATGTAGCTGATACATACATAGTCTATTGATTATTAGATATTAAGTATGAATAAGTTTAAAGATGTGACTGTCTCGCGCAACTACATCCACACATACAATCACAATCGAACATCTGGGGATTTTTACGATGATTGAAGAAATACGAAGTAAATAACAGATAACACATCGAATGTATTCCTGATTTTTTATTAGAATTTTTTGTTAAAATAAATAAAATCATCATGAATTCCTTTCAATCATGAATTGTAAGTGTAGTTAAATGAAAACCTACAACTGTAACCTTTATTATTTCTTAGTTTTAGTGTGTGACATATCATAAATGGGGCAAATCAAAATATTACTATTTATATTATCTTCAATTAACTACTCTATAATCAGCTATGTGCACAAAATTCGAAAACGTATTCCATTCATTTCAATTTCAATGAAGCCTTTGAAATATTGTCGAACTATCTAAATCTTGTTCTTAATGCTGGTGTTGGTCAGGAATAATAGAAAAAGTCTAATATCTGCTGTCCTTTGTTACTGTGGAATATATTCATTTAGTCAGCGTTGCGAGAACTATCAGCAACGTTTAAATCAGAATCATTTGTAATCTACAACCCACTTCTTGACTGCTTAACTGAAGGTCGTCATTCTGTTTGTTATGCGTAGTATTTTTTTTTAAGAAAATGTTTAAATAGAAAAGAACTTAAAATAAAAATAAAGAAATACTTGTTTCACAAGATGATTGATGTTTGTTTGAATTCTAAATTTTTGTTATTTTAACTGAAATTATGTCATTTACATATTATTATATTTCAACCACCAGAATTTTTATTAAAAAATAAAACGAAATTACAACACACAGACATCAGAAATATTCTAAAACTAAATTATTTCTAGTTTATTTGGCAGCCTGATACATTTTAAAGATCATGAATAGATAATTGTCGTCGACGAGTAATTAGAACACTTTGTATTGTCATATACATCTTTGCACTTCAATATCATTTTGTAATTTTAGTATAGAAAAAATACAAGTTTCTACTCCTCAGGTAGCTATTTTATAAACTCTTTGTTACGAAGTAAACATAATAGTAAATCTGCACACCAAATATCATGAAATATGTAAAAACATAAATTTCTAAAACATATTACGAATGTTTCAGATTAGTTCACTCGCTTTTCTTCAATTGTTTCCAATTACATGTCAAATGAATAAGCCTCACTTTGTTATTTAGACTGTTTAAGATGACATCTGTCTATAGTTAAATCATAGTTTCTCATTAAAAGATCCATCCAATGTTGAATGCTGTCAGAACAACTGTTCGAATACACCTTTTGTCTCATTTCGATTTTCTCTTTTCTTAACTCGTTTGAGCGGATCGAACAGACAAAAATGACTAGACATGACGGATAAAATGATGTTTTAGGCTAACCCGAATACATTTTAAGAACACTCCTTGAAAAATCGATCATTCCTGATGCGTAGGCAAGACATATGACACTAAACCTGATCAATAGTGTAGACACTTTAAATTGGATTTTTTACGCATTCTGATACCTTTTTTGCTACCTTAAGGAAGTGAGTCAACAAGGAGTTTTGCATTGCATACTCAAATAAAAGAAGTGTTAATGAGTCATCGCAAAGGTTCGATACAAGAAACAGAAAAATGAAAAAGTTTCCAAACCAACACTTCATGCATCATTATGTCACATAAGCTATACATGCAAATATTCTCTTGGTTTTGTTTTCTTCTTACATATCAAAGTATTGTGGAAAACTTAGCAAAACTAGACGATTGTAAACGATTATCAAATGTTTATAGATAATACTTTGATACAATTAAAAATAGTTTATCAATTATATGAAATAAAAATCATTTCAAATAAAGTTTTATTTTCAAAAACACATGTTTCGATTTAAACGACAATTGTGAAAATGACAAGCCTTTTGAAAACGAAACAAAGAAAATTCGAAGTATGTTGTACATATTCACAGTATTATATAAAATATTATTTTTTTATACTTTTTTAAATAGTATTATATGATGACAAATAAGAAAAGAGAAAAATGCTTATCAACTCGATTTAATTTTTCTTGGTTTTTTTTTGCTAGAAAAAATATTACTTGTTTTGAAAATTTATCCAATGAACTTCTCTATGAAATTTTCGATTATATTGTTGGTTGTGAATTATATAAAGCATTTTCAAATCTTAATACTCGTTTTCAAGCACTACTAAATTCTTTATATCTTCAACTAAGAATTGATCTTCGTTTGCACGAGAAAACCTTCTATGAATATAGTCCTACCACCATTGTAGCTTTAAATAAACATCGAATTATTTCACTTGGCTTGGATGTTTGTCATGACTTTATTTCATGTTTAACAGTATTGCAGATCGATTCATCATTTAGGCGACTTGAGTCACTTATGTTACATAATATCAAATCATACGAACTTATACCTTTTCTTATAAATTTGAATGGTCTACCTTGTCTATTCTCATTGATTATCTATTACAACGATGATCTCAAAGAGATTAGGAATATCTATCAAATAATTTTCAATTTACCACTGTTAAAGTTCATTTTTCAAACACTGGTCTATCATTCCTCTATTAATAGCAAGCAACGATCAATACAGTGATATTAAATATCTCTTTATTGATCAAGGCTTGTAGTCTCAATGGGTTAAATAATATACTTTCATACACACCTCAACTTTGTCGTTTAACTTGTAAAGAAATGGAAAAATCAGAGGAAAATTTCGTTAAAAATACACTTAACGTAACACTCAGTCTGACTCGTTTTTCAATTTCTCAGTGCTATGCACAAGATGAGGAACTAGAAACATTTCTCATAAAGGTATCACCTCAATTAGAAAAATTATGTATCAATAGGTCCAAAGATGTAAGTTATTTGGATGGTACTCGATGGGAACGAATTATTTCAAAATATTTATATCATTTAAGTAAATTTGAATTTTAATATAAAGAATTTATATTTAAATCATACGCCGGAAAACCTATTTATTATGAAAGATTTAATGAATTCAACTCGTTATTTTGGATGAACCGAAGATGGTTCTTTAGAATCTCTATCGACACAAACTTGAGGGACCAAATAGTTATTGTCTAATCCATTTTTCCATGGAGGTTTATTAAAAAGGATCATTTTTGTAAAACAAATTTTTGTCTATGTTTCTTTTTATAGGCAAAACTCAGAGCAATTATCATACAGATAAGAAAAGTTTCAACGACAGTACCGTTCAAAATATGATACAACATAGTACTATTTTCGATAATTTACTGTGTTTTCACACGGTTATGATGCTTCATGAAACAAACCAATTAACTGTCATGGACCTCACGCGTTCTCAATATGTTGTAAATTTTTTTGATATATTGGGTCCCATTTTAACTAAGATACCGATTGCCTGTTTGAATATTACGTTCCAGCAGATTTCCATTGGCATGTTAATCGATCTAATCAAATATTTACCTAATCTTAATTCATTAATGATCGCATCTTTAGCAATTATACAATCAACACAAATTCAACTTCTTCTGGATCTATTTCCTTGTATAAAATATTTCGAATTGGATTGTACAAATGGTGTCTCACCCAAAAATGTTGTACAATTTATTTTAATGAAAAACATCAAATATATCCCAAACTCATCCTTACTTTGTCTTAAAATATCACAAACAAAGATGGACATCGTCGAAAAATTAAAAAGTGCTATTGACTTTGAACGATTGAGTCAGAACTATACAATCAAACAAGTGGAGAATAAGATTTATTTAGAATGGAACTTGTGATAACTTAGTTGCATTATAAAGTTTTTAATAAACTAGAGATTTTATATGTACAAAGAAGTTTATTATCATTTGCTATTGAAACCAATGCATGAAACAAAGAGTTAATCAAGTATGTAGAAGAATTTAAGATCAGATTCTAGTTTTCTCGTTTAATATTTTGTCTATAAGAGTTTATTATGTTAAACCATGGCCGTATCTTGTACGGAATCGGATATAGTATGGAATGATATCACTTTGGAAAAATTTCAGCATAAAAATTAGAAGAAAAAGTTTAAGAATACTTTTTTGACCTTACTTTTTCATCAAACTTTCAAAACCCTGCAGGATACTTCCCTAAATCTTTGGATCAAGTCTTAAATTTATCGATATTTTGTGAAATGGGGTTTTTTCTTCTCTTCAACCTTACATCGACGATACATCATCGCTTTCAAAAAAAAAAGTGAAAAATCACTTTGTGCTTAACTGGTTGATCTATAAGTTATCTAGCAAACGTCTAATTACTAGAGTGTAATC